GCCCTTCACACCCTATCCCTTCCCTAGCTATCATCTCTCGGTCGCTGTTTGGAGGTCAGCTCCTACATCCAGCAAGTACATAATGACAGCCAATCTTGCTTTCTGAATACATTTCTAACTAAACATCTTCTGTCTCCTGTTCTGACTGTAATGCTTGGGAGTGGCGCTCCATAAAACTCACAGAGCCTCCACTGTTGTCCTTCAGAGTCCTTCATAAACCTTTCCTTAGCTGTGATCCCTGCAATAATGAAGCAAATAACCCAGTGGCACACTGAGACTACCGCCTATCGTACAGGCCAATATTGTTTCTTTTTCCTCGCCCTGTTATATGTATCTGTTTCCTGCCCTGTTTCATATGTTAATTGCAGGCTGTTTGGGGCAGGCTTCATCTTTGTGTTCTGTGTTTGCACAAGGGCTTCCTTTTCCCTGACTGCAACTGCTAGGTGCTACAATGATATTAGTAATATTCTTCTTTTCTGTTTAGTTTCACAAAATGTACATGAGTCCCATTGACCTGGAGCAGAGGTGGCAAAAATGGCATTAAATTTCACACCAGCTAATCAAATTTCTAGAGCCTTAGCCAAAATACTAGTCTGAGCCCTGGGCCTGGAGAAGCATCTCCCCTCTTCAGACTGCCCTCACCACTATCGTATCTGACCACTTCACAATATATCATGCATTTATCCTTTCTAATGATTTCTAAGGCAAGTGCTGTTTTCTACCCATTTTACACATGAGCGTGTGAAGCACAACAAGGCTAACTTACCTGTTCACAGTCACATAAGAAAGTCTGAGGCAGAACAGGAAATTAAACCCAGGTTTTTCAAGCCCTAACTTGGGGGTTGTCAACCGGGGTTATGCGTACCCCCAGGGGTACTTGAGAAGGCCCTGGGGGGCACGTGGTGGCGGGGATGCACCACACACCATCCCATGCTGCCTGCCCAGCTGGATGCAGGGGAAGGTTGCACACGGCGGATGCCGCTGCTCCACACTTGGCTATGCACCACCCCCCTGCTCTGCATTCGGCCATGTGTTGCGCTCCCTCCCCACCCTGCATTCAGCCGCTGGGGGGACACACTGCTCTGTGTCCGGTTGCTGGCGGTACACTGATTGTAAAAGGTTGAAAACCCCTGCCCCAACATATTTACTTCCTCTCTCCTGCTTTCAATACCCTGTGCCATTTTAAAGTCTTGTAATGTTACCTGGGATGACCTTTAATTAGAGCCCATGCATCACAGTTGCAAAGAGCCTGTTGTTCCTCTTACAGACCAAGGCTTGATTAGACTTTGGTTTAATAAGCCCAGATATAGGTTATCTTCTGTCCAGCTGCTTTGCCACACAAAGGGATCTCTCAGACACACAGATCTGTAAACACTAATATCCACAGCAGCTGGATTCTCTGAGTCTTCAGACAAAAGAGGTTGGATGATCTACACAATGCACAATGTCCATCTGGGATGGGACCATTGAAGTATTTAGAGTCCTGAATATTTAACCCTTTTTGCCAATTATTTACATTGCGATATAATCCAGTTGCTCAATCTAAAGCATTGATTTCATTACCCGTTTTGCCATAACGATACATCAGCAACAGTCTTTATTGCAGCTGGAGCCTTAACAAGAGAAATGCCAAAGGTATGGCATTTTATAGGTTATTAAAAAAGCCTCTTGCTTTCATTTCCTTCTGTCTATTCTATCTTCGTATCAACCTGCAGATAAATTGACATGGTTAAGAGACAAGTCACCATATCTGCTTTTTCTCACTGCATTTTCTAAAAAGGTTATTCTTTTTCTCCAGCCTACAGAGATATTACACTTTCTTGTTGGTACAGTAAATTAAAATATACTTAGTGCTGTCATCCACCATTTTTTGGCATATATAGGGATACTTATCCATCTTTACAATTTTTGCAAGGTGTTCACTTCTATCTGAATGAAAGTTAAGGAGAGTTATGCTGGATTACAAAACACCTCATCATTAGCTTCAAATGTATCTAAATACTGGTTCTACCCAGCATGCTAAGCGATTTACAATGTCTTGACATTGTAAAATATGCCTAGTCCCATTCACTGCTGCATCAAAGTAGCAGGAGTGAATATATATTCAAGTGACAAATCTGGCATTTCACAACAAGCCACACTTTTTCTTTACTACTTTTTTTTTTTTAATCTTTCCCAACAAATTCTCCTGAGTCACCAACTTCCAAGAGAAACTAGAGTCTTTCATGGGCGATTGAGAGTAGCTTAGCTTGGCTTGATGAAATGCTAGAGAGGGCACTCATACCTTAAAGAACAGCTAATGCCTTCACATTCTCCTTAGGCAGGCCAAGGCAGAACAGTTTTTCATTCTGAGACACGGGGAGAAAAAGGTTGATCATCAAATAAAAGGCACTCTGTGGCAAGTGGAGATATATTAATTGATTTCCCTGTCCATTTCAATTCAGTGCCCAGCTATTGGTGTCTTTGCCTTTAGAGACAGTGTGAGCATGTTTATAGAGCATTGGACTGGGACTTAAGAACAAAGCTAGATGGATGAGCGGTTAGGGAGACATTTGTCTGGGTGGTTTTGACAGGGATAATTCTGCTTGGAGAAGGAGACTTAGTTGGATCATTTCCTGAGGCCCCTTTCCAGCCCTCTTTTTTTTTTTCTCTGATTCTGTGGAATATTTTTGACAACAGTAAATCCTCCCTCCCTCCCCCCCATGCAAAAAAAAAAAAGAAGAAAAACCAAGAACTTTAGGAGGAACCAAACCTGTATAAGTTCAAGTCAAATTTGGCAAATATTTTTGGTTGAACACTAACATTTCAGCCAATTTCAAACATGGTCAAACATTGGGAAACCTCTGAGACAATGAAATATTTGAAGAGTTGTTTTTTTGTGTGTGTTTTCTTTTTCTAAAGAGTAATTTAATTTAAAAAATGACTTGAGCTAAAACACGAAAGCAGGTTAGAATGGATTGAATAACCCCAAACAAAACAAAATGTTTCAAAAGAAAGTTCCAGATTGACAGGAATGGTATTTCCCCTTATTTATTAAAAGGTGGGGGGGGAAGAAAAATCAGATAAGTTTCTGTTTTGATTCACCCAAGATAATTTTTCCCCTCATATTTTCAGTTCAGCTGAAAAATTCTGTTATCTGCCCAAATCTGCTCAAGAGTCCTGGGCCTATTCTTGGCTTGAATTGCGTCCTACGGGTGGGCAAGTTAGTCTGTTGGTTTTTGCCTCATCAGGTTCTCAGTGGGCATGTCTACGTGCTTCTTTTAAGTGAGCTTAGCCTAAAGTCACCATTTTTAAGGCACATTAAGGGCCTGTGTCTACACGTGCATGCCCTTAATGCGCCTTAAAAGTGGCAATTTAAGGCTATGTGAGCCTAAATTTGATACCTGTATAAAGCATAAAGCAGGTATCAAATTTAGGTGCGAATAGCTAAGTTGCATTAGTGCTTGTGTAGATGTGCTAATGCATATTAACACGGTGTGCATTAATGGACACACACTGTACTAATATATATTAGGGCATCTGCATGTGCACTAATGCTAATTAGCTATTCGTGCCTAAATTTAATGCATTTTAACGTGCATTAGCACATCCATGTGTAGACATGCGCCTAAATCACCTTAATGCGCCTTAAACAAAGGCACATTAAGTTTAGGCATGCATAAATACACACACAGACATACCCAGTATGTAACAGTAGAGTAATGATACTGACTTCCATGTTGAAGTGCTGAGAGATATATTGATGAAAAATATCTTATAAAAGTTGTATATTTTTATGTCCATGCATTTTGTGCTCACAGATATGCTTGGCTCTGCAATGGTTTTCCTTTTTGGCACTTGCTTTCTCCTTTTTTGTTTGCTTATTTCGTAAGATTGTGGGTTTTATTCTTTTGCAGAAGTGAGACCCTAAATATGGGCAGGTATCTTGCACTTGCCAGTGTGCGAATGTTTTCCTCTGCATTTCCACTACAGCAGGTTTGCCATTTTTCTCATTAACTCTCCATTTATTTTTAAACATTACCAGTAAACATCTTTTTCTCTCCTATGCCTCCATCTTTTAATTACTCATCCCCATTGCTGTTTCTTATTATGCATCTTTGAAAATGTATTAACTATCAATGTAAAGTACTTTGAGGGTAAAAGTGTATGTTAAAAATGCTATAAATGATGAAAGAGTTTTATGTTTGACAAGTGAAAAAAAGAAGAGCCCATTCCCCTGTGGCAGGAAGGAATGAAGATGTAGAATAATTTTATGTTTCTAAAACAAGAGTAATAAAACTAACATAGTTATATTCAATATGTTCATATCAAGGACCTTGCCAATGATTGCTTTCTATGTTGCTACCATTATGTTGGTTGCAATCATTTTATCTTCTTAAGAATTCTGGATATTAATTAACGGTTAAATGCTGTAAACGCTTGCTTTGTTCCAAATCCTTGCTTGATTAGTTCAAGGGTGGATATTTGCAAAGGAAAGATGTGCATAATCACACCCTTTATTGATAATAGCTTAATTTCTCTATCATTCTGTTTCAGCTTATCCAGCGAGAGCAGTTTCTCTGTATTTTCCTTCTATTTATTCAGTTCCAAGATGCTATGCCAAATAAAGTTGCTGTGTATTTTACTTGTCTATCTCTTGGTCAACATTGCTTGCTTTTCAGTCTCTTCTTTATTTAAACCTGTTTGAGCTTGTACAGTTTCATCACCTTTCTACTTCCCGGGTCTTTTCTGTCCATTTGTGACTTTACTCAGCCCTGAGTACTGTATGCATCCTATCAAGTAGCAAACACTTACTAAATTAAAAAAAAAAACAGCACAAATGCCATTCCCTCCCCTTAAAGAGCTTTCTAGTCTTACCATGAAGCTTAACTGTTTTATCAAAAGATCAGACTTAAGTAGTAATTCCCTCCCTCTCGTCCCCCCTATACTTAGATCTCTCTTTCCTTGTTCTTCATTTACAAATTTTTTGCTTTTTTTCTTCTTCTTCTTGTTTTTAACAGGTGGACTCTGCATTGCTCAGTCACTGAAAATCCCACAGGATCGCAAAGACAAGAACATCGACTTTGATAAAATTATCAAGCAGCTCCTAGAAACTCCCAACGCCAGGGCCATCGTTATTTTTGCCAATGATGAGGACATAAAGTAAGGATGACTGAGGGAATTAATTAATTTGTGCTTGATGGCTTTATGGAGCAGACAAAGCAAGTAAGAATGTACAGTGCAATGAAACAGTGATCTGTTTGAAAGACACTATACGATCAAGGATGATACCTTTTCCACAGAAATATCAGAAAAAAATGTATGGTATGTTTCACTAAACGTGTATTGGTTAAAAGCATTTCCTTGTACGCATTTCTGCTCTTCTGAAAGAAAACTTTATGACGTGAGATGTGATTAGAGTTTCAAATTCAGCTTTGGAAAAGGTGCAGAATCTTAAAGATTAATCTAAACGGTGCCATTCTGTCCAATAAACATCACAAAATTCAGTGTATTTACATGGCAAGGAAGAATGGGTTGAGTCTAACTTTCACCCCATGTGTTTCTTATGTTTAATATCATAACCTCATAATGCTGTTATTGTAAGCAAAATAATGTACAGTATTGCTGCTTGTTCATTCATTTGTGCAGACATAGACTTTTGCTCAGAGGACTCTGCCTGCTAGACATTATGGAGAAAAGTGACTGATTCTTGCAAGTGTCTAGGATGCTATAAGACTGAGGCAAAAACTACCCATATTTCTCGGGATACTAACTTCTATGCCGAGACTTGGGAACTGCCAGTATGTGCCCATGTACCATACTGAATTACCACAATTTTGACATCCGGCTACTGGTGCTACTGTCCAGAAACAGCCAGTGGCAGACCCCTTTGGAACTCCACAGCCTAGTGCTTTCATAAGTGCCCTGAGCTATTATGAGATTTAATTACAGCATGTAAAACACTGGGAGATCCTTGGATGGATATATACGCTGCAGTGATAGCAATCATAGAAATACTGCTCAGGCTAAGTATTAGTAATTAATCATGTGTTTGCTACACTAATTGCTGTTGTTAGTGTTAAAATAACTTGGCTGTTCAATAGTAACTTTACAGACCAGATTTCATTTGCTTTTCAGGATGATATGGATATAATTTAAAAGCAAGGAAGTTTCCATTTACCCTTCATGAGAAATGCATTTGTTGTTTTTGAAGTCCTCTGTGAAGTAACATCTAAATTACCAGAGAGCTCTAGTGTTGCTGACTGTTGCTAAATGATTTAAGTATGCAAAATAACATTCAGATTTAACAACAGCAACAATAAAAGTTGGGATGAACCTGCCTCTTGATTACAAAAATCAATGTAAAAATTCCCATGGACTTCAGTGAAGCCAGGATTTCACTCCAAGAATACAAACCTAAGAAAAAAGGAGAGAGAGTTTCCTCTTAATGCATCAACATTATATAGAAAGTTAAATTCCTAAGTTCAGTTTTTGTTACAGGAATACATTATTTCTGCTCATTCAGCAATCTTGCTCTGTTTGTTGTTATTCCTGGGCAATTAAATCCCGTTCCCTTTCATTTTGCATTCTAATGTGAATTAAAATGTTCCTATCCACAGACAAATCCTTGCAGCGGCTAAAAGGGCTGATCAAGTTGGTCATTTTCTCTGGGTGGGATCAGACACTTGGGGCTCCAAAATGAGTCCATTGGTTCAGCAAGAAGACGTTGCTGAGGGAGCAATCACCATTCTGCCTAAGAGAGCAACCATAGAGGGTAAGAAATCTATTTTGATCATCTTTTGTCTTTTGTCATAATGTCTTATCTTTTTCCTCAATCCATGGAATATTATTGATAACTAACCAATATGCAACCATCAATATGCATGTGAACAAGCAGATTTGTTGTGGTTGTAAATATATATTTATGGCATGATTTAAAATTCAATGCAAATTCAAATGCATCTAAATTCCCTTAGGTTTTCCTGGGATCTGGGATTCAAATTACAGTATCAAAGTATATTCCTCAGTGGCAAAACTATTGGCATTTATTTTCATGCTTATCATAACTTAGTAGCTTGCTGATCATACAGAGTATTATCACCACTAAAAGGAAGCAAAATAATGGAAACAAGAATAAAATGTTACATGTTATATGTTTATGTATAGTTCTGATTATACAGTTTGTAGGAAGACAGAAATTTTTCTTTCAAATTATATTTCAGTTTTATCATGGTAAGTCAAATACATGAAAAACATTCAGGGAGACTTATATAGATATACAGCGTATGAACATACATTCATAAACACTGTTCACATGTAAACATATATTAACTGCGTGTGTTTGTGTGTACACACATTTCTAGACATGATTTTCTTCTCTGCTTCCCTATAATTTTTTCCCCTCTATGTTTTTATTTTCTAATCCATCATTTCTTTGTTACCCCCTTTGTCTATACAGATGTTTAGAAACCTAATTGGCATCCTTCTGGGCTAACAAAACTTGATGATTAGAATTCATGTTCTAATTTAATTTGAAAAGAAAAGTTCTTTTATAAAGGAGACACTAAGCAAAGAAAAAGAACTCCTCTGTTGGTACATGGCTTTGTATTCCTTGTCTGTCAGGCCAGGTCTCCTAAGAATCTGTGGAATGTTTCACACATTAAAATGAGCTCCCACGTCTTCACTCAAAGGAAGATCAAATATTTGCCTGCCTTTTTACTCTGTCTACACTACTACCTTATTAATTATTCTTCTTAGAACTATAATGCACTTCAGCCTTTCATTTTCATAAATACCTGAAATAGATAGACACTGGGGGTATATTGCATGTGAAAACTAGCTAATTTCAATCACCTTTGTGCTGTCTACATAGTATCCCGGGGATATTTCTAACACACTGCACCAAAGGTATAGAAAAGTAAGTAGAAAACACAATAGTAACATGTATGAAAGTTTTCAGTATCTTAAAATAATATCTTTACAGGCCATATATTATATACATTAGATGTAATTGAAAACACTGAATAGTCTATTGGAAACAATGGAGCACTTAACATCTTAAAGCCACATTTTAAAATGTCAGCCCAGTGGATGTATCTGAAAAAAAGTTGTACCTACTTTGCCTTCTATTACTTGCTGTCAGAATTGGAATTAAGCATTTGCCTATGACGTTGGTTTCATAGTTTGATAATTGTTAGGGGCTGGCAGGGACCTTATAGATCATCAGGTCCAGCCCTCCTGCACTTGGGCAGGAAAGACAGCTGGGATCAAAAGACCCCAGCAAAATAGGCATCAAGAAGTTTTTTGAAGATCGCCAGGGTGGATGACTGTACCACTTCTGTTCCAAACCCTCAGCACTCAACTTGTAAAGAAGTTTTTCCTATGTCTAGCCTGAAGCGATCCTCAATCAGCTTGTGCATATTATTTCTTGTCTACCCCTGCGGGGCCTTGGTGAACAGATGCTCCCGCAGGACCTGATGTACACCCCTGATATACTTATAGGCTGCCACCAAGTCCCCCCTGAGTCTTCTCTTCAACAAGCTGAACAATCCCAAGTCCCTCGCCCTTTCCTCATATGTCTTGGTCTCCAGGCCTGTAATCATGCATGTGGCCCTCCTTTGGACTCTCTTGAGCTTCTCCACATCCTTCCTGAAGTGTGGCGCCCAGAACTGGATGCAGTACTCCAGTTCTGGTCTCACCAAGGCCGAGTAGAGTGAGAGGATGACATCCTCAGTCATTCTTGAGATGCCTCGGTTGATGCATGCCAGCGCTTGATTAGCTCTGCCAGCTATGCTATTGCATTGGTGGCTTACGTTCATTTTGTTGTCAGTTATGACACCCAGGTCTCGTTCAGTTGTGGTGCTGGCAAGCATAGCACTGCTGAGCCTGTAAGCGTGTTGTGGGTTATTTCTCCCCAGATAGAGCACTTTACATTTCTCTGTATTAAACGGCATCAGGTTGAGGTCCGCCCACTTCACTAGCCTGTCCAAGTCAGCCTGTATTGCCAGGCTGTCTTCAAGAGTGATCACGCTCCCCCATAGTTTGGTGTTGTTAGTGAACTTTGCCAAATTGCTTATAATACCTGAATCCAAATTGTTGATGAACATGTTGAAGAGCACTGGTCTGAGCACTGAACTCTGAGGGATGCTACTGGTCACCTTCCACCTTGATGACTCAGTTGAGAAGTTCACATGACCACTTAAAATAGTAGTCCTCAAGGTCATGTTCCTGATAACATCAATAAGGTGCATGCAGGCTTATCCTTCATATGTTGTATGTGCTGCAAGTTAGTACTGATACTGAAGAAATGCATATTACATTACAATGAGAAGTAAAATAGTTTTGCTTTTCAATGGGTGCATCTACATGTGTGCTTAACTATGCAGTAGAGTAATTTGCTGTGGTGTTGTAAAGCATCATAGTCTACACATGTGATGCTATTAGACTGCAGCTGATCAATTTTTGCCACCATAAGATAGTACTGTCGGGAACAGTGGTATATCATGGCGGTGAAAATAACTGCCTAAACACATGTGTAAGCATTGACCCAAGGCATACATTGCACCTGGTCACCCCAGGCAGCAGGAGGCCAGACCCCTGCCTGCCTCCTAGCCACAGGGTTCTGCATGCTGGGGTACTCCTGTGCCCCAGCCAGCCCCTCTGCCACTGCCTCCCAGAGCATGGGACTGACTCCCCTAGCCCCAGGCCAACCCCTTGCTGCTCCACCCTGGCTCAAATTGCTGTGATCCCTGTGCTATGTGTAGCATCTGAATGTGTGTCCTGGACCACAGCAGTTTGAGCATCTGCATGTGACATTAAGGTGCTATGATAAATTCCAGCACAGTTTGTGCTGGAGTTTATCGCATTGCTTTAATGGCATGTGTAGATGCACCCAATGAGATTACACGATATAAATGGAAATGCAGAGTAAAATGTTCTAGAGTTTCAAATCTAACAGTATTACCACTAGTGGTAGATGAACATCAGTAGAGCTGAAGGCGCAACTCAATACTGTTATAAGAATCATAAACTTTGCAAGCTTTTCAGAACTTCTCTTGCTTTGAAGTTGGTCACTAGAACATAGATTTTCACAGGATTTCTAGTAGGTCCTTCTGCGTAAAAAGAAAAAATGAAAATAGCTGAAATTCTCTGCCATGCTCATAACGATTCTTTTGCTTTGGATAAAGAGCAAGAAGGGCACAGAGATTCTCAAACATTCAGAAGCAAGATCAACATCATCAATACCAAATGTTTCATGAAAAAACTCTAATCACCTGGAAAGGTACATGTCAATTCTCCCTTTATTCAATCCATTTCGTCCATCCCTAATTACCATCTGCATTTGCCATCTGCTTGCTTCTTCTGAGAGGGCAGAGAAAAAATTGGATGACGAGGAGCAGCAAATCCTACTTCTCCCTTTCTAAGGCAACTTGTACATTGTCGTTTCAAAACAGCTCTTAAAACTTTCATAGTGAATAATTTTCCTTCTACAAAGCAGTTTTCCAAGGCTAGGAATGTCTCCTTTTCGACCCGCTATATGTTCATATTTGATGTACCGGGGTAAACTCTGTGAATTCTGTTAATTATAGGATATCATTCTTTTTTTTACATAGCATTATTTTTAGTTTGGTGAAAGTATTACTTTTGTGTGTGTTTGTATACGTCTTATCATGAAAGCTCTCCAGATTTATAAATTTGGCTTCTGCATATCTTTTTATTTTGTCATTGTTATCATTTAGTTATGAGACTAAGTGAAATGAGAACAGACATTTTAATGTCATCTTTTTATCATCTAGCAGAGAGCATCTGCTCCCACAAGTTTACCAGCTCATTTCTTCTGACAATAAATAAATAAATAAAATAAGAAGCCTAGATTTTTCCATCTAAATTGATAGAAAGGAAACTAAATTGATAAAATGCAGCTGTATTTGCCCTGAAGGATCTTATCTTGAACAGTATCATAGCCTAGCACAATCTACTTTTTATGGAGTATTATGTAAAAAGTGCTGCACTTAGCTTTAGGGCTCTTATGCACTGATTCAAGAAAACATTAAGCACTTGCTTAACTCTCATTGAGATCAATGAGACTTAAGCCTATGCTTAACAGAGATGGAGTTAAGTATGTGTTAGAACATTTTGATTAATTGGGATATGAAGGACAGGATGCAGTGCAGTTTTATTCCATGACAGGTTAGGAGTGAAGAACCATTGGGGTGGACAATCCTAATGGAGGAGCTGAGGTGCAGTAGTTGCTTTGCTGTGACTCATCCAATAGCAGAAGACCCCATCCTTGACCTACTGTGGTCCTGCCCCAAACCTTTGACTTTAGGCTTTGCTTGGCATTTGCAAGATTTCCTCATTAGCTCCTATAAATGAAATTCTACAGGCCAGTTACAGGAAACTCAGACACATCAATTTAATGTTGGAATAGTCTTACCTTTTTACATGGCGTAAAAAAGTGAATCACAAAGAGATGTCTAGCCCTGGCAACTGATGACATGCTTTATTTTATATCTTCAAAAAAAACAAAAAAACAAACAAAAAACAGGGCGGGGAGCACAGTTTGAGTTCCTAGTTGGGCCAGTTGTAAGTATTAGCTATCATTGTACATTAGAGTTGCATCAGAGCTGCTCACAATAGCAGGATAATGCTGTTTAAATACACTTTATGGCCAAATTTTCCCACTAATAATTCCTATTTCACAAATCTTTGGAGATACAGGCACTTGAACATGAAAAGGATAGGTAAATGACTTACTATGGAGGATGCCTACAT